TGTCTGAAATCCTGTTGCACAACTTACGCCATGCCACTTGGATGATGTTGTCAGCTGCAGCTATGCTGAAGCTGTTTCATGGCAATTTAAAAAATTCCTAGTCCTCCCTGCTTTGGTTCTAGTGATCCTAGAGATCTCCTTCATCCTGGGGAAGATTTCAGAAGCTATAAAATGTGGTGAGGAATGATCTAAAGCCAGATAGTCGCCATCTCAGCAGTACAAGGAGCAGTGGTGGCTGTCTTTGTAGGAGCTGTGCTTGTACTGTAGGAGCTGCCCAGAAGGCACTGGCTAAAATCCTATCCGTGGAGCTATGCTGCACAACTTGAATGATGTCACCAGGCCCATGGTCATTTAGAGGCAAATAAAAACTTCCTAGTCCCCCTCTTCCATTCCAATACCCTACATTCTGGGAAGACTTTGGGTGGGAAGGAAGTAAGTTTTTAATTGCTCCAAAACAGCTGCCTGATGACATCATCCAGGTTGTGAAGCATAGCCCCACTAATAGGATTTTAGTCAATGTGTTCCAGACCAGTGATTCTCAAACTGGGCTCCTTAGATGTTCTTGGACTGCAATTCCCAGAAGCCTTCACCACTTGCTGTGCTGGCCAGGATTTCTGGGAGTTGCAGTCCAAGAGCATCTGGGGACCCCAGTTTGAGAACCAGTGTTCTAGACAACTCCTGCAAGCGTAGGATTTTGCACCTGCTCACCTTAGCAAATAAAGTAGTGCCATTTCCAAGCACTGTTGTTGTTTCCCACCTGGCAGTACTTATACTGTATTTGGTTCTGTAGCAAAAGTAGTGCCATTTCCAAGCACTGTTGTTTTTCCCCACCTGGCAGTACTTATATTTGGTTCTGTAGCGGATGGTTCTGTAGCAGACACTGGCATATTTCTATAATTGAAAAAAAAGGGATGTGATAAAATGGCATTTGGGCCCCTGACAACGATAGTGGGTTCAGGGTTTTGTCACATGGAACTGTTCCACAATAAACCATTTAAAAGCCTTTTAAAAGAACATCAGAAAAAATAGGGAAAAGTGCAGCACTCCCCATTAAAATAAAACTCCTTCCTCAGCAGTGTGTCAGTTACTAAAAACCTATAGACTTTTTAAAAAAGTTGTTGCTTGCTATGGAAAGGCTGATATGGAAGAGAAAGATGCAGTAAGTGACTGGATCATCTCCTTGTTTTGTTGTGATTTTCTTGTTGTCTTTGTTTTCTCTACTCCTTTTTTCCTTTCTTGTCCACTTTTAAACAGTAGACTTCTTGCAATGAAGCCTTACTTTCTTACTTGCAATGTTCCAAAGCACGCTGGACACTGAATACTATAATAGTTCAGAGGAAATGACAGCTCTGCTGTCATAGGAAAGACTGCCTCTCTTAAGTAGTGCATTGATTTGCTAGGCTCCTAAATAAATAGATTGCATGGTGATGGGGAGATGCATAGACAACTACACAACTGTATGACAACTTATAGTAAATATGTTTCTGTAAGGGCCGCTCCCATTTCTAGTAGTTTTTTCCAATACAAACAGACAGTGGGCTGGCTACTTAGAAGCTTTGAGTAATTGCAAATGTTGATTAAAGGTAATTTACTTTAAACACAAAATAGTTTTCTTGCTAAGGACCCCTGTTGTTTTATTAAGGTCTTCAGCTCCGAGTCATTGTGGTTGTGATGTGTTTCAGCCCATCTCGTTACAATGAATGCTTCATTTTTTAAAATGAATTAAGCAAGGCTGTCGTATTCCAGCGCAAGCTGTTCCTTCCTCTAACTGCCTCAATCAGCTCCTGTTAGCTTAGGGATTTAATATCTGTGCTTCCAGTTCGTTAGTGTGACAGCCACCCTACTGAGCCCACTCACAAAAGCTCAGCACCATCTGTAGGTTCTTATTGCATTAACCAAACATGAACTTAGGAAGGTAAGGCCTCTCTTGCACAGAAAGGATAAAGCTTTGGGAAGTCAGTGCACCTTCTGCTGTGTTGGCCAAATCCACAAGAACTGAGGTTACAAGCTTTCAGTACATGTAAGAATGTATTATGTTGTCAATGGAAAATTTTTGAGGCATACTTAATATGTCAAAAAAATGAGAGATTCTTATTTATCTCACACTGAAGCTTCAGAATGTGCTTCAAAGTGTCCTCTTTTAAAGTAGAAAAGCATTTTACTTCTTGTATACTTGCATGCAGGACATTTATATCCTCCACCAGCTTTCCTTAGAGTAATGGAACCCTGAACTGAACCCTGTGGGACTAATTTTGAATCATTATATATAATATCACATTGTCAGTGAATACTAGCCCTATGAGGACTGGATTGTACCATGAAAAATTCAACCTGTTCCATCACAAGGGCACTTTTAGACTAAACATGAACACAAGCGGTCTGCTGAGGAGAATCAGGATTTTCTTCAAATTATGTGAATTTTGTAGTCAAACATTAGATACAAATCAGATAGCATTAAAAATTCTTGAAATAAAGCATGAAGCTTTTCTACAGTGTTTGCATAAGAAGATGGAGTCCAATACATTTGGGTGGACTTTCTGGTCGGCTCCAATGAATGTTAATGAATCTGATGGAATTTAACTTGTATATATTCTCCGTGAAGCTTAAAGCATTGCAGAGGAAGAAACCAATCATGCATCCTGCTCTTCTAGCTACTGACTCCCATGCAATTCCAACCCTGAGCAATCTATTTATTTTCTACCCTTAGTTCAGGGTTGGGCAAACCTTTTGGTCTTAAAAGGCAGCAATCTATTTATTTTCTACCCTTAGTTCTTAAAAGGTGGGTTGTGGCTTCCCTGCCAGGACCACAGCCATCCAGAGTGCATGCTTAAATCCATCCACATTGCACTCTAAATATGGAGTGTATGTGGAGCTTTACACTTCCTCTTCCTGATCAATGGGATCAGAGAATGAGATCACTGGAATGGGTGGGTTATCTTGGTGACTGGAAGCAGAACATAATGCTGTGCCCGAGTGCTGCCAATTTCCGTTGCACAGGCAGAGATCATAAAGCATGCCAATTAATCATGGGCCTTCTGCTTGCACAAGGAGTTACTCCCTTTGCACAAGCTGCAGAGCTGCAGTTCCACTCATGCAACCGTCCATTGTGAAAATTGAATGACTGAAAAGAATTCCATCCTACTTGGTTAATAATCCTAAATTTGTCGAAAAGAGAGATTTTGCAGTTACCATATGTTTGGAGACCTATAATTTCCAAACTGACTATGCAAACGCCTTTGACTGTGTGGACCACAATAAACTATGGCAAGTTCTTAAAGAAATGGGAGTCCCTGATCACCTTATTTATCTCCTGAGAAATCTATATGTAGGACAGGAAGCAACAGTTAGAACTGGATATGGAACAAGTGATTGGTTCAAAATTGGGAAAGGAGTACGACAAGGCTGTATATTGTCCCCCTGCTTATTTAACTTATATGCAGAATACATCATGTGAAAGGCTGGACTGGATGGATGCCAAGCTGGAATTAAGATTGCCGGAAGAAATATCAACAACCTCAGATATGCAGATGATACCGCTCTCTAAAGAAAGTGAGGAGGAATTAAAGAACCTCTTAATGAAGGTGAAAGAGGAGAGCACAAAAAATGGTCTGAAGCTCAACATCAAAAAAACTAAGATCATGGCCACTAGACCCATCACCCCCTGGCAAATAGAAGGGGAAGATTTGGAGGCAGTGACAGATTTTACTTTCTTGGCCTCCATGATCACTGCGGATGGTGAGAGCAGCCACTAAATTAAAAGACACCTACTTCTTGGGAGGAAAGTGATGAAAAACCTAGACAGCATCTTAAAAAGCAGAGATATCACCTTGCCAACAACAGTCCAAATAGTCAAAGCTATGGTTTTTCCTGTAGTGATGTATGGAAGTGAGAGCTGGACCATAAAGAAGGCTGACCGCCAAAGAATTGATGCTTTTGAATTGTGGCGCTGGAGGAGATTCTTGAGAGTCCCCTGGACTGCAAGGAGAACAAACCAATCCATTTTGAAGGAAATCAACCCTTAGTGCTCACTGGAAGGACAGATCCTGAAGCTGAGGCTCCAGTACTTTGGCCATTTCATGAGAAGACTCCCTGGAAAAGACCCTGATGTTGAGAAAGTGTGAAGGCAAGAAGAGAAGGGGCCGACAGAGGACGAGATGGTTGGACAGTGTCACCGAAGCTACCAACATGAATTTGACCAAACTCTGGGAGGCAGTGGAAGACAGGAGGGCCTGGCTTGCTCTGGGCCATGGGGTCATGAAGAGTGGGACACGACTAAACGACTAAACGATGACGATAGAATTATTAGAATGGGATTCCTTTGTACAACCTGGATTTCCAACAGCATAAAAACCCAAAATAATCAAAAGCAAAATTAACTTTCTGCAAGCCAAGTAACTATGAATTGGTCCCATTAAGCAGCGATAAATAGCCTAAATTCTGCTGTCCATCTGCTACTGAAGGGATTTGCATAGCATACAGAACAGTTACTACAATCAGCGCATTAGTCAATAAATGTGCAGTTGTTGCTTATCTGTACTACTCAACAAGTTTATATTATATTTATTGCATATTCCCAGTACTGGGAATAACCTCTGCCCCCAAAAGAATGTGGGTCTTGCCCTACCAAGTGAGGCCCTTGCAACTTGGAGTACAAGATGTGGTTCTGCCACTGTCACAAACACCGATTAGCCGTGAGAATCATCATTAATAATCAACCTTGCTATACGGGGCACCACTGTACATGGGTCTTGCCCTACAAAATGAGGCCCTTGCAATTTGGAGTACAAGATGTGGTTCTGCCACTATCACAAACACCGATTAGCCATGAGAATCATGATTAATAATTAACAGGGACTCCCTTCCCAATGCCTGCACTGTATTGTTACCTATTATTTTGACCTTCCTTAAGCAGACCTATTGCAAAAACTGAGTTTTGTGTTGCGAACTGCTGTTCTTTCTATTTAATGTGTTATTCCACTCCCTTTTTGAAAGTACAGGAGTCAAACTCTCACAAGACTCTGTATTACTGCTCTTTAGCAAGAGACATTCTTTTTTTCCTTGTTCACTATTTGGCATTGAGTTTAGTGTTCAGGACCTCTTTGTCTTTCCGAACAGTAAGAGTGATTTAGCTTATTACATCTCATTTCTACAGAAAGGGATTTGCTAGGTTAACTGGAGGAGCAGCACATGACAAGGACTGGATGCATGCTAGGGGGTTGGGTAGCTTGCTTGGTCATTTGTGTAAATGAGCAGTGCTCAGATTTAATCCAGACATAATCTCATTTGTACTTCTTAAGGCTTGAACCATGTACAGCAACGAGTAGTATATTGACTCAGGCAAACTATACTCTTTTAAAGCTATACAGACATGGGTGACTGAAGAAGAACTCCGAGGAGCCTCCCTCTCATTCTCTCTCAAAAACCTTTGTTCTACAATTGCTAATTTAAAAAGGGAATTGGTTATTCTCAAAGGTATATTAATCAGCAAAATTAAGCGTCTTTGCCCCACAGAATCTCCTTGCACCCCACAAGAAGGTGGAATGTTGCACTAAGGCTTGCATTGTAAACAATGGAGTTTCATGCCCTTAAATCTTGCCCAATGCTGGAATGCTTTCTGTCACAATCCTTGTCAAATTGGAATTCAGCCTCTGGGCTGAAAAGACTCCATCCATCTAGAATTCTAAAGTATATCTGAAACCATCAGGTCTCAGGTACAATTTAGGTAGTGCAGAACTACAAAATCAAGGAGAAGACTATCCTTTGCTGGAGGCCATCAGAGACTAGGAAACCATCTGTTGTGGATATTCCAGTTCTCTGTTTCATAAACTGGCAAAAGACTGGACATGACACACAATGGCTGGAATCTTATTGCTTAGCACTGTAAGTTGCATTAGAGTAGGCCCACTGAACCAGTGAAAATTTGATGAGACAACTTCTATACAAGTCCATTGGTTCAAATGGCCCTACTCCAGTTCTGACTTACTTTAGCATAGTAATTCGCAACTATAGTATTCTAGCCAAAAGTGTACAGGGAAGGAGAAGGAACTTTTTTCTTAACTGTGATCACACCCACTAATTACTCACTTTTGCAAATGCCAGTTCCTATGGCTCCTGATCTTCTATATACTTGAGCAACAACTTCATCACCTAGTACCTACAGATCAGTTAACTCTCCAGCAGCCACAAAGATATGTTAATCTTAAACCTCCACCCACATGCTCATATTGGCTCTTACTTTAATCTGAGCATTTTGAATGTTCTTGGTTTTTTACCTGTGATTTTGTGGGTTCTCTCCTTTTCATATATATCATCTCCAGTCTACAGGTTCATCACCTCAGAGGGCTAGACATTAACTTAGTCTCCTTGGGTATTTTAAGACAACATTAGTACTTCACATGTGTAGTATGTAGAGGCCTCTTTTACTGAGCTCACAGATCACAGAGATACAGGTATTTACACACATACTTAATAGCTCAGATATCGTCACAAAATATAATTCTGAGAACATTTTGAGGAAAGGGGAGACGGGGAAAAATTCTTCATATACATTCTGTTTGATTCCCTGTTGGAAGCTGAAAGTGGAAGGAAACTATTTCTCCATGGTAAAAAGTTAACCATTAAAAAAGCAAACAGTGACAATAAATACTGAGGAAAGATAATTTAGCATTTTCTCCTTTAGGAAACTAGCCATCTGCCCCTGGGCTATCTTCATCTTGGCCATGAATATCATGGCAGTCTAACTCTTCTTTGGGGGAGCTGTCAAATATCCTTAGACCACACATTCCTTAGCAGACAGCCTGTCCTTAGGAGACTTCCTTGTGTTCAAAACTAACACATACTCCCAAATTATTCACCAGACATCATGCTTTGCGAGAATGTTGGTCTTGTGGTGCTCACTTACCTCTAAGTTTAAAGTATTTCAGATGGTTGGCAATAGCTTGTTCAGCAGATTCATCTGGACATATTTTAACTCCAGTTGGAAAGAAAATTGATCTCTTCTTTCGGAACAACAAGCGCTTGTTGAATTTCTCAAATTCCCTGAAATCAAGAAGATGCTTAGAATCCAGGAACTGGGAATGGCTTCTAATTGATTGCCAGCCATCAGGTGGGAGATTTGGTGTAGTTTCCTTAGCTTCTATGTTCTCTGCAGGTAAATTGGGTTCATCTGCAAAAGCACATCATAAACAAATGTGTTTTAAAAGCTGCACATATATTGTCACGATATTAGTGAGCTTCATTGAGAAATAGGGGTTTTAACCAAACTGAACATATGTTGCTGCTTTCTTTATCCATTTAGATAATATGGATGGTAACAATAAAGGTTTCATGTCCCACTCTTCTGGTTTGGTATCACACCCTAGGAATCACGATTCCTAGTAATTACCATATCATACTTTATCCAATATGTCCCGTGACTTTGTTTTTTCCATGATACCATATGCTTACTGAATTTTTTTTAAAAAGCAACTATTCCCTGTAGCAAGTTATTTTTTTAAAAAAATTAACAGGATGATCTGGCCGCATGAGGGAATGGTTAGCATTTCAGAAGAGGATAACGTTTTGTAGATTTTCCCCAAATAAGTATTAGAGATACAATTGTTTTGACTGAATGATAAGAATATAACAGTTGTGCTTCCATGATGACAAAGGAAAAACAAATATAACATTTTACACCTTTGTTAAAATATGTTGTTACTTAACTTATGAGGTCCCTTCCTTGCCATTGTGCCCAGTTTTTCCTTCACCCAGGAACATGAGCTAGTGTGACATGTCACATATCCGAAGAAAGACATTATGGACTTAATCCAGTTGTTAGTCCCAACTAGAGTAGACCCACTGAATTAATGGTGTGTGTCACACTAACACTTAAGTAAGTTGCAGTGTTTCAGTGAGTCTACTCTAGTCAGAACTAGCAAGTGGAGTTTATCCTATAACAGAACTGACCCAATATATTCAAGGGCTTCGAGTAGCTTACTTCATCCACAATATTTTCAATGTCCATGTACGTCCTGATAGACAACACAAACACATAAATTCTACTGATATATATGCTTCTATAATGAAATCAACTAGTAAAAAAAATCAGCTGGACAGCCTTGACACTGGCAGTCACTTCTTCTATTATCTTCTGAACCAATCAGATTTCATCCAGATTTTGTTCATTCAAATGCTAACTATTTTGAAGGGACAGCTGAATTAGTCTATTCCAGCAAAAGTAACAAAGAATTTTATTGGACATTAAAGATTAACCAGTTTTATTTGGCATAAATTTCATGGGACTGCTACCTAAACTGATGTCAAATAAAACTTGTTCATCCTTAAAATTTGCAAGACTCAGTCATAGGATGTTCCTCAATTAACCAGAAAGAAGCTCAGATCATGATTTTCTGGTGGGTGTATTTACATGAAAACTGTCCTTCAATGACTGTTCCTGTGCTAAAGATAGACACATAATGGCTCATTAATGTCTCCTGTCAGGTATGGCAGGTGTTGGTAATCATTGAAACCCACAACCAAGAAGCAGAATCTGACTCTGTATACTTATAAACATATTTCTTCTCATCCTAATTACATAATTTTTCATGAAACATCAATTAATTAGATCCATACATGATTGTACTTTAAACAAACCCACTAAAATCAGTGAGACTGAAGTTAGTTGTTACTAATTTAGGTCCTTTTGATTTCAGTGGGTCTGCTGTAAGAATGATGAGCTTTGAATCCATTTCAGTATTTAAAGGAATATTCAAAAGACATTTAAGAAATAAAGATGGATCATTTTCTTACCTGCAAATGCTTGAACATGCCATTCAAGTAGCACAAACATCCAAATTCCCAGACAAATCTTCCAAGAAAAGTTACACATATTTCTTTCCCTTTTTTTAAGGCAGGGGGAAAAGAATTAAGCCCCTTTTGAGACCTGTCTGTTTCTCTGGACGTGTTAAACATCCAGTAAGAGTCCCTTCCTGGACAAGCTGTGGCGTCACATCTAATTGCCTTCGATAAAAGGGTTAGTATAATTTCTTCAATAAAAGCCAGCCAAAATATCTCAACTATTTTCAAGATGGTCTAATAATAATAGAAATTATTCGATTCTCATTTTGGAAGTCACAAGAGGTGCCGAAGGAGAGCCTCCTTGATGTTATCCAATGGACCATGGAGACAATTTTTTAGCTTTAAGCTGTGCAGCTAAGCCAGCTTTACTGGAGCTTGTCATGTTGTTAACTGGCAGTCTTTACAAGGACAGTACCTTTCACATTTAATTAAGTGCAATTTTCATTGACTTCCTCTATTTAAAAAAACCGGCTGCTATCCAAGCAATAATTTATTATGCTCGTATCATGGCAATCACAAGAAGATCATCTCCCGAGTTACCACTCTATTGCTATATTACACTTTCTAAAAAAAACCACAAAATTTGATTCCCCCCCCCCCATCAACAGCAGTTCAGGTGTGCTGAAACAGAATCCTATTTACGATTCTTTCCTGCAGTTTCTCCCCCTTAGAGTAATACAGCAAAAAGCATGTTGCGCTACCAGGTCGTCATCCTTTATATTGGTGATTCACATCTGGAAGACATGCTCCTGAAGGGGATGGTATTAGAATTTCAGAAGTATGAGTAATTTGAATAAAAATAAAAAAATTTTGAAAACAGGGGAAATTACAATTTACCACTATTTGTTTCTTACACTGCAATAGGCCAAGATGGCAGAGAGCCATCTCACAGTTAGGGGTGGCTGGATTGCTTCCAATTTTGAGATATTGGAAATTATTTGGGACTACCCTCACCTTGGCCTTACTTTGTGTTGGCACAATGCCTACATCCAGGGCTGGAGGAAGTTTGAATGTGGTGTAACTTAGTTGTTCCCTCACCCCACCTTTCCCCCCACCTTTTTGGCTCTTCTACTGATTGATCTTAGCCAACACGTCAGTTGGTGCAGCAGATCTTCTCCTGACAGAACCTCAAGATGAGCCAGCCCACGGGCAGTTCTGCCAGCATAACAACGTCAGGAACTTGATTTACTTGTTCATCTTCTAATATGATACAGACGCCATCCCCTGCCAGTATTCAACATAGGGCAAAGAGAGTTTCTGTACCATAAAATAAACAGATGCAAATCTAACATCAGAAATGGCAATCCACAAAAAATAAGTATCAGAACTCTCCTTTACTGATCTCACTACAGAAAAAGGGAATGTCAAAGGAAGATTTGGGAGGGAGACAGGTAACATGGGCTATAGGCACTATATCCCAGTGTTCATCTACAGCAGTGTTTTCCAACATTGAGTCTCCAGATGTTCTTGGACTACAACTCCCAGAGATCTTGACCAGCATAGCTAGTAGTGAAGGCTACTGGGAGTTTTAGCCCAAGAACATCTATGTACCCAAGGTTGTGAACCACAGATCCAGAGGCTTGAAGGGTAGTAGTGAAGGTTTCTGGGAGTTTTAGCTCAAGAACACCTGTGTACCCAAGGTTGGGAACCACAGATCCAGAGGCTTGAAGGTTTTCTTAGCTCACTACATGTATGAAGAAGTTTTCACTTAGGCTTCAGCACAGGCTTCTTCAACAAAGCTTCTGACTTCAGCACAAAGACATTTTTCCTAGCTCAGAACTTACAAAAAGGAAAGCAACAGAACTGTAGCACCTTACACATTAACATATTTGTTTCATTGTGGGTTTTGTACATTGGAGTTCACTTCTTCAGAAACAGACATGCATTTTACAGCATAGTTCACAATCTACAAAAGCTTGCACCGAAATAAAATTGCCTTACACATTGTAGAAGGATGTTGACAGTTCTCTGTTCAAAAATCCTGTTCTAAACATGTAAAATAATGATCACATATATATGGCAGAAATGAAAAGGGTAAATTTACCTGAACAGTTTATTAGTTCACCCACTTATTTATTTTAAAAAAAATATAGTGCTGACCTCCACTCAAAAGAGTATTTCATAATAGTACACACAAAAGTCAGATATTCACTAAAATAAAAACAGTATATAATTTAAATGAAAACACAACATTACTATTAAAACTGGGAGATAAATACTATTTCAAACATCTGCAAAAGGGAAGTTTAAAATTTGGAATACCTGAGCAAAGAAAAATAATTTAACCTGCCAATGAAGATGCCTGGTGTACCTCCTGTAGAAAGTTATTCTGAAATCAGAGCATTGTCACAGAGGTTTTTTCACCTGGTAATGATAAATGTATTTTCCTTATAGCTGGATCATGACATACAAGAGAAAGGCCTTCTTTCATTATCTTCATTCATGGGGAAACATTCTATGAATTACTTAAACCCAAGCACTGTTTCCTTTGCACAACTAATAGTAAGGAATAAATGGCTGTATCTCAGAGATAAAAAAATATTTTTTTTTTCATCTTACCCACACACACCCCTATACACAACCTCTGGTGCACATGTGAAATAAAACACAGGTTAATAGGTGAAAAGAATAGCGAGCCACCTATGCACTGTGGACTTCATGTTGTCTTCCCCATATTGTGCTGTGTATTGTGCTATGCCTTCCATTGTGTTACGCTGTGGGTTTATAGGGAGGGGAGGGATGTTTATCTGCTTGTGTGATGGATGGATGGATGGATGGCATGCATGGCTGGCAAGCCAATAGCGATGGATGGATGGATGGATGGATGGCATTTATGGCTGGCAAGCCAATAGCCAAGTCCAACTCTTCGTGATCCCATGGACCAGAGTACGCCAGACCCTCCTGTCTTCCACTGCCTCCAAGAGCTGGGTCAAATTCATGTTGGTTGCTTTGATGACACTGTCCAACCATCTCGTCCTCTGTCATCCCCTTCTTCTCTTGCACTTCTCCTCTTGCCCTCGTACTTTCCCAACATCAGGGTCTTTTCCAGGGAGTCTTCTCTTCTCATGAGATGCCCAAAGTAGTGGCCTCTTGACTTACAGACGGCTTGACTTACAGACTTTTTGAGTTACAGACTTCTCTGGCCGCATAATTTAGGTTTGACTTGCAGCCTGAGAATTGACTTACAGACCAGAAAAAAAGCAAAATGGAACAAAAACGGCCTGTTACGGGATTAATCGGTTTTCAATGCACTGTAGGTCAATGGAGACTTGACCTACAGTCTTTTTGACTTGAGAACTGCCTTCCAATACGGATTAAGCTCTCAAGTCAAGACCCCACTGTACAGTGGTACCTCGACTTATGAACTTACGAACATTTCGACTTACAAACAGCTCTGATCACAGCTTCTTGCTTCGACTTGCAAACGGAGCTTCCACTTACAAACAGAAACAGGCAGGGGAAAAAGGCGGGCAATTCAACTTTCTAACTGTAGATGGTGCCGAGGCTGCTTCTTTGTGCTGTAGCCAGTTAAAGGGTCTGTCGCAGTTGAGAGAGCTCCTGCTTTCCGAGTGACCCTGTGTGTGTGTCTGCAGAGAGGTTAAGCTCCTGTTTTCTCCTTTTAAAAACTGTTCTGAGTGGGTTTTGGTGGCTCTGCTTCAGAGTGAGTGTGCGTGTGTCTCTGCAGGGAGGGTTGTTTCTTTGCTCTGCTTCAGAGTGTGTGTGTGTGTTTGGAAGTTTTTTTCCTTCTTAAACCTCAGCAACGGAGGTGCCTCTAGTGTCTGTTTTTTGACTTTTTTTCTTTAAGCCTCAGCAACGGAGCACCTTCCAACTGGGCTTGCTGTGTTCCTTTAAATTTTTTAGTTCTTTTTTTCCTGTGGGCAGCAGGGCGGGAAACCATGGCTGCTGACTGGAGTGAAGAAAGCTTCGCAGGAGCAGGAGGAGGTGGGCGGGTGGGCAGGCCAGCACTTCCTGGCCAGGTCTTTGGCCCCGGCCCATTCACTTCAGCCAGCCTTAGAGGTTTCCTTTCTCTCTTGGGTTTTGTTTTCTTGCAGCCCTGGCACGTTCCTATGGGGCGGGGGGGGTGTCTTTTTTTCTTCAGCTGGAATGGATGGTTTTCAATGCATCCCTATGGGAAATGGTGCTTTGACTTTCAAGTTATGGACACTGTTTCAATACGTATTAAGTTCCTAAATCGAAGTACCACTGTGTTGGAGACTCAGCTTCAAGATCTGTCCTTCCATTGAGCACTCAGGGTTGATTTCCTTCAGAATGGAATAGATAGGTGTACAGAGATGTAAAAGTACAAGAGAAAAAGTATTTGTAGATGATATATGTATACAGTTTTGGTGTGTGCAAAGTTGATCCTAAAAGTGTATGTGTGCGTCTTGTGTGTTTGCGCTGCGGACTGCTGGGGAAACTGCTCTTGCATGAATCAGGACAGTAGGAATATATTCTGTTTCAGGACAAGACGGAGGTTCTGAGGGT